GGATTATTCCCTTGCACCGATTGTTTTCTTAAACTTTATTACTTTTTACTCAGGACTGTCATGCAACCAGTTATGGTGAACCAACTGTGGACGAAAAGCAAGATTATGACCTCATATCCTTGACAGAAATTGGCAACAAAACAACGATGAAGTTTAAACGACAATTTGATACGTGTGATGATGGCCAGGACAACAAAATCGAGGTAATATATATATACTTTTTTTTTTAGTTTACTTTATCCTCGTTGAACCATAGAGAGTCGTCAGTGCACAACCGGTTAACCCTGTTGTGACCAGGGGCCCGTTTCTCGAAGGTTCCGAAAAGTTTTCGCACCCGAAGAGCCGTACCAAAATCTCAAACCTTTTGACCACAGGGCTGTTTATTCAGAGGTTCACTTCATACAAGAAGTTTTAGGTGTATTCACCTCTCTGTCTTTAAATACCGATTAACTAAAAATGGCTTTTCGGGCCCGAAATGATTCCGGGGCTTTCGAGAAACGGGCCCCAGGGCCGAGGGGGTCGGGAGGTGGGGGAATCGGGAGCTTTTCATGTGAAGTCCCCCATGGCCACCTTGCATCACGCTAAGAGCGTTAAAGCAATGAGCTCCAAATTTGGAGACTGTACCTAATCGTTACCTGAGAAAAAAATCTGCTGTTACAGAACATTGCTCAGAACATTTAGAAAATATTATTAGATGTCTTGTTCAGTTTTAACTAGCTAGTTTTGAGCCCGTTTTGATTGTTTTCTAACATTTTTGGTACAAATTCATCGTATAGTGATTAGTCTATTGCGAACGCGTTGCTCTATTACGTTCGTTAACTGCTGATAGAAAACAGTCACTTCTTGTGCACGTGATATTTTTCTGCATGAAACCCTTTCAATTGCCTGATATCTCACAATAAAAAAACACTTCTTCTCTAAATATTTCTCTAAATTTGCAGAGGTTTTATTATTTGTCGCTGATAGAGTCAGTGTCTTTGGCCGGTAAGGGTCACATCAGCCCAATGAGTTGTTAATAACGACTGACTCGTGAGTGAGGCCACTCTGTGTCGTTGTTGACTGCTACAAAAATACTCATCATGCGTAGCACGTGTTTAATTAGACTTCAGTTGTCTACCATACTTGCTTCTTGTTTATCTACTTTGTTTGCATACATTACTACCTTATGTGGTACAGGAAACATATTTTCTAGGGCAAAACTTGCCTTAATTAATTTAAAAAAAATATAAGAGGTTTTATACATCCTTGCTAGGAGATATATAAAAACATTTGTGACATGACTTTTTCAATAAAAGAAACGTGAGAAATATGAGACATCAAGTTACCTTGACTTTGCAGGAAGGAACATCCAAGGTCATTTATGCGTATCATCCCTCAGACCCTCGCTCACCTGACTACTTTCCCAAGCACATAAAGAAAGGTTCCCGCAGTTTAATGCTGCTGAACACTGGTAAAAGCAAGCCAATACTACCAGCTAACTTGACGTTCCTCGACATTCTGAACAACCAAGTAAGATCTGTTTTTAAGAGTGAAGTTTTTGTTAGGTTTTATGTTTGTTTGATCATTTTAAGCCGATTTAAATGTGAGAATAGGAAGCCCAAAGACCTAGTGGTGCTGGTGGTTTTAGCTAGACCATTGTTCTGTTATGTTCTCAAGTTGGCAATTAGCCAATCAGAGGCGCTTTCTTATGTAATGTTTTTCCTGCCATACTGAAGTCACCGTATCAATTAGGGATGGCAAAATTTGGGTGAGGTAAATACATAATCGGAATTTTTTATGGCACGCTTAGGCGGGCGATTAGGCTGGGTTAATCGAGATATTGGTATTGTGGCTCGAATGGGTCCGGCTCTCCGAATTTGTATTCTTGGTATTGGACTGGAACCAGCTTGCAATGGAGGCTCAAGCGGGGGGAATAACGTTCAAAAGAGATTAATTTAATTGTTATTTGAAAAGACTCCGCGCATTAGCCTCACTCTTAAACTAGTTCCAGTCCAATAACGAGAATACGAACATGGCCTATCACAAACCAACGCCTGAGTCAACAAAATTTTCTGAAGCATAGCAAATGGCAAAAGGAAAACAATTCACTCCACGAACAAGGGTAAGTGTAGATAGGAGGTTCGATGCCTGTTAGTTGATTCGGCCTTTGGCCTCATCATCTACCACTCCAAGGAAATATTTATTAGAAGTTCCTTAGCTGTTGAGAGGGCGAGTGTGAGAGATGCCACCAGTTACAGCTGGGTTGCCGGCCTATTTTCGTGTTGGTCACAGTATCCCAACCGATCCACAGTAAAAACCACCTTTAGGATGACCGTGGAGTTACCAATCCTTCATCTGCATCCGGTAGGAAAAGCGTCCCTCAAGCCTGTTAAACAGTAATAAAATTCTCACAATGTAATTGTCTTAATACAGACCAAAGTGCCAGCTGATGAAACGACGTACTGGTGTAAAGTTTTTGAAATTCCAAGGATGGAGAGAGAGTATCATGTTGTCAAGGTAATTATCTGAAGTTATGGTATACGCAGTAGAGCAAGTAATGATTCATAGTGGACATCAACAATAAGGCAATAAGATACCCTCAAAATTAAAGCGAAATGGTGTAGTACACTTGCCTTTGCATACGGCCGGTGCATTTGAAATTTGAATTACACCTTTTGCTGTTCATTTACAGGAAATATCCATTCATTTGAGTCCAAATTTGTTTTATTATGGTCAATATACTCTCATTAACACCAATATGACCTTCATTTGCGCGTAAGGAACCTTCAAGAATAACATTTGCATATGTATTAACATTCAAAAT